AGATAACAGAGTCAGGCATGTACTCAACCCCATCACCATCCTGCGGCCTGCTAGAGAAGCATTCTGAAGGTGGATATGCCCTCTTGTTCAACTTGTCATCACTTATGAGTACATTCTGCAGATATTGACTAACAGCCTGTGGGAGTCAGGAGTAGCCCCAGAAGGGAAAGAGAATGACTCTGCCTTGCTCCTGCATCCTGGGCTCAGACCCTGGCCACTCTAGAGCCCGCTACTCAATTACGTAGATGCATGCATTCTCTAAAGTGATCTGCTAGACCCCACATGGGACAGAGGGTTTGCGATGCATAATTGTGTATGTTCAAGGGCTTGAGTTTAAGGGGTCTTAGCACTTAACAGCCTCCACCCACTCCCACTGCCAAGTAGCTAAGTGACACAGACAACAGAAGTAGACTGGAGGAAATCATGGAAACACCCATGATGGGGACGAGATGCGAGGGCAACTGTCCTCCCTGTGGTGACAAGTTGTAAGGAGGGTGTGCTCCCCATGCTAATGAGCTGTGAGGAGGGTGTGCTCCCCATGGTGATGATCTGTGAGGAGGGTGTGCTCCCCATGCTGATGAGCTGTGAGGAGGGTGTGCTCCCTGTGGTGATGATCTCTGAGGATAGTGTGCTCCCTGTGGTGATGATCTGTGAGGAGGGTGTGCTCCCCATGGTGATGATCTGTGAGGAGGGTGTGCTCCCCATGGTGATGATCTGTGAGGAGGGTGTGCTCCCTGTGAGGAGGGTGTGCTCCCTGTGGTGGTGATCTGTGAGGATAGCGTGCTCCCTGTGGTGATGATCTGTGAGGAGGGTGTGCTCCCTGTGGTGATGATCTGTGAGGAGGGTGTGCTCCCTATGCTAATGAGCTGTGAAGAGGGTGTGTTCCCCATGGTGGTGATCTGTGAGGATAGAGTGCTCCCTGTGGTGATGATCTGTGAGGATAGAGTACTCCCTGTGGTGGTGATCTGTGAGGAGGGTGTGCTCCCTGTGGTGGTGATCTGTGAGGATAGAGTACTCCCTGTGGTGATGATCTGTGAGGATAGAGTGCTCCCTGTGGTGATGATCTGTGAGGATAGCATGCTCCCTGTGGTGATCTGTGAGGAGGGTGTGCTCCCTGTGGTGGTGATCTGTGAGGATAGAGTGCTCCCTGTGGTGATGATCTGTGAGGTAGAGTGCTCTCTGTGGTGGTGATCTGTGAGGATAGAGTGCTCCATGAGGTGATGAGCTGCCTGGAATGGTGGAACATGCCTTTGAAGCCAACATTTGGGAAGCTAAGGCAGGAAATTACAAGCTCAAAGCCAGCCTGAGTTGTGTAGTGAGACCCTGTCTCATCAACAAGCAAAATCAATTTGAAAAGAAGTTAGAGCTTACATTATTTCCCAGATGATGCCAACATTCTCCACATAGAAAACAAACATAAATATTGGCAAAGACAGAGTACTAAACAAATTTCCAGCCAAACCAAGATAGAGAGGTACCAGAATTTTTGAATTCTTGTCATGTTTTAATTTCTTTCTCATTTTATACCTCCATGTGCTTCTTTTACAAAGTCTGGCCTGCTCACTTCATAAAACCATCCAGTGATTCAAGGACATAGGCCTGAAGAGGTCTGTGAGTCCAGCCAGTCTTGACCATTCTTCAGGATGTGGGGGACCCAGGCTAGTAGGCACTGGTTTGCCTTCTGATCTTGCCTCCAAATGTATTTTGCTCCAATTCAGGAACAGATGCTACCTTATAAAGGACATTCATTTAGTAACTAGAAAAATATGGCTCATGGTTTTTAATTCTTTTTTTTTACTGTGGGCTGTGTTTTGTTAAAACTCCCAGTGGTTCATCCCTCATGTGAGAGTATTTGGAGCTGTGTTTCTACATTCTAGGAAAAGAAAAAAATTACTTGAATTTATATATGAGTCATTTTTTAATTTGTGGAGTAATAACTTGTGATAAGGCAAACTGCAGAAGATGGGGGGGGGATCCTGAACAGCAAATGAGCTTTGGGAAAGAAGAAATCACCAAAGCCTACACATACATGAGACTTAACTGCCAAGAGCAGGTATCCATAGTACATTCTGGTGTTCATTGACAGATAAGAACTGCCTAGTGACACTTTTGTATGGATGTACTGCACAGAATGATTAGACCCCAAATCAAAGGCGTGTTCTTCAAAAAAAATCAGAAACATTCTACATGTCAACAGTGAGTTTTCATGGTCTAAGAAGCTGATACCAGCGTCTGTCTTCTGGTCCTCACTGCCCTCAGTCTGAAACTGATAACAAGAGATCAGGGTGGATCTTGGTGCCAAGCAGGCTTCTGGGGTGTTTGGAACAGTGAGCTCCTGAGCATACATCCTGTGCCTCCTTCTAGGATTGATGAAAACGGTTGGAACCCTATTTCTGTTACTTGATCTAGTTACTTTGGACCCACCTATCTACCTTTTGGGTTTCCTTATCATGATGATTCTGTGTTTGCCATCTACCCAGTGAGCACCCACTCACCATGTGCAGATACTGTGCTGGCCGTGGGATGTACTCAAATCTTACTTTTAAAAATGCAAGGTTATTTTGTAAGAATGTTAGCCACATTGTTATGCCATAATGAAAATTCTAAGTGATGGTATGTTCAGCCATATATAGACAGTCTTTGTCATCAGGAAAAGCAGCCCTTGGGTGGGGAGGGCAGGATTCCACTTGTTCCACACAAGGAAGGCAGGTGCTGTCCTGTGGCTTTGTCTCTTTTCTTCATTCCAATCCACTCCTCAAGTCTCACAGGGACACCCGTGGACTGGGTGCTCAAGAGAAGGTCTTTCTGCACAGCTGAGAATGGCTCAAGCCCTCCTCCAACCCAGACGACCTCCTGGCCTCCAGCTCTCAGCAGAACCTGCTGTTCCGCTGGGCTGCACCTGAGAGCTAAGGTCCCACCCGGTCCTAGGATGTTCACACTGAACCCTGTTTCCTTCATCTTCCACATCTCAGTCTAGGTGGCCTTTAACTCCATAGCTCCTGTCTGCTCAGGTCATTTCTGTGCATAATGTCTCCCATTGTACCAGATAAAGTCAGAGACTTCTGACAGCCCCTAGGATCTGCCTCAGCCTGCCTGTCTCAGCACACACACATGCACGCATGCACACACATGCACACACTCACACACACACGCACACACACATGCGCACACACACGCACGCACACGCACGCACACACACACTCACACACGCACACACACACGCGCACACACACGCATGCACACACACGCACGCACACGCATGCGCGCACACACACACGCGCGCACACACACACACACACAGGTGTGGGGTTCCCTGTCCTTTCATATCCCCTAAACCCATGGCCCCTGACCTGCTCTCCCTGCCCCTCACTGCCTAGCCACACATGATTACTTCTATCTGGAATGTTCTCCTTGTTCCCCACCCCTCACCTGCCAACATGTCATCTTGTTCGTCTCTACCATCTTTCACGTCTCACGTGGGTGCCGCTCCCAGGCTGGCCGTAGGTTGGAAGTCCTTCCTTGGTTGCACTCACAGCACTGGCTGCTGTGTACTTTGTTCCCAATGTCCAGCACAATGCATGCTGGTTTGAGTCTCACTAGCAAATAGCAACTAAGCAAAGCAATGAAGAGCAGAATCCACTCTCAGCACAGTGGAAGAACATTGTATTCTCTGGTGTTGAAGGGGGATGGAATGTCTTGTTAGGTCAGTTAATCTAAAAAGTTGAGAAGAAGTACATTCTGGAGAAATCATGATCCCTACTTCTGTCTCCGTGTGCTGACGCAAGATTTCTCTTTGGGGAAACACAGCAGCTGTTCTGACATATTTCCAAGATGGCTCTTGTCCATCTTCCCATCTTCACTTTCTCCAGAACACTTTGCCTTGAAGACACCTTTAAATCAAACGCATGTTTGAGAACACTCGATCGAGCACCTCCTTGACTTGGTGGCATTGAGGCCAGCTACACAGATGCACTTGTGTGTTCATCCCTTCTCCCCCTTAACACGTATATATTTGATACCCAGTTCAGCACTACCGGAAATACTTGGTAAATATCACTCAATCAGTGTGTACCATATGGCAGCTGACAGCACAAGTTCTAAAGCTACATCACCAAAGCATTGCTACATACGGTGTGACCTCAGGCAGGTCACCTGACTTCCAGGTTCTTGGTTACTACCTTTGCACGGGATTACGAACAGCATCTACCTTGCAGAGATGCAGCAAACACTGAATGGGAGAGTTAGCTGGTACAGAGGAAGTGCTCAAACGCCAACCCAACAAAAAGGAGGAGGCTGCACAGGGCTGGAGACGGGGTGAACAAACAGCCCCCCCCGCCCTGGTCAGGGCTTGCATTCCTGACAGCAGAGCTAGACACATAGAAAAAGCCATCCAATGGGAGTGCTGTACAGGAAACCACGGCACTGCAGTGCCAGGAGTGATAGGAAGGGAACACTTCAGATACGACAGCGGAGAAAGGCCTCTCTAGGAACACCACCTAGTAGGAGGGTGAAGGAGTCAGCCTCATGGAAAGCCAGGCACAGGGCTAGCACATTCAGTGGGGGAGTCTGGAATCTTCTAGAACCATCCACACAGGCCAGTGTGGAGGGAGAGTGGGCCAGGGGAGGACATGACCACCCGGGGGCTGTTTTGGTCCAAGTGCAGTGAAGAGGAACTGAGAGCTGTCAACACGGGTAGCCCTGAGCCCAGGGACTGGCAGGGCTGTGAGCTGAGAGGGAGGAAGTGGGGCCAGGCAGCAGGGGCATCCACAAGCCCCAGCGCGGGCTCTGCTACCAAGCCTGAGTCCCCCAGTGCTGCCTCTGAGTTCCAGCCTTAGGGAGTGCCAGCCACAGGCACCACAGTCCCCCGGGGCCTCCAGCCACCCCACCTAATGCCCCATCTCTCTTAGGAGATGGGTTCCAGAGGGCCACACGCACGACCCTCGACGCCCCACGCCAGCCGCCGCCACACTCATCCTGTTGTGTTGTCTTTGTTTCCACAGAGGTCTCATTGGGAGCAGCTTCACGGAAACGCACTACCTGCAAGACGGCACTGATGTCTCCCTCGCCCGCAACTACACCGTGAGTCTGCATGCGCGTCAGTCCACAGCTCTCCACGCCAGTGAACCCGAGCTTGCACTTCCCAGCCCCCTTGTGCTAAATAAGCAAGTCTCATGGTCTGGGCATTCCATGGTGCCCCAAGAAAACGTGGCCTTGACCATGTGTGTCAGGAGAGCCATGGAAGCCAGTGGCAGAGCTGACCTTGAAACTGCCATCCCTCCCCCACCAAGGCCTAGGAGGTGACCATTTGGGCCCAAGCTAGAGATGTCGTAGAAACAGTCCTATCTGGGCTGAATATTGTTACACTGGGGGACATACCTTAAAGAAAATGAAAGGAAAGTGGACCCTACTTACCTACTATGAGCAGCTCCACAACGTTAAAATGACTTTACGTCAAGACTATTACTGCCAGGCAGAATGGCCCATGCTGTAATCCCACCTACTGGCGAGGCAGAGACTGAAGGGTCTCAAGTTAAAGACCAGCCCAACCGGGTACCAGTGTCTCACGCCTGTCATCCTAACTACTCAAGAGGCTGAGATCTGAGGATCACGGTTCAAAGCCAGCCCAGGCAGAAAAGTCCATGAGACTCTTACCTCCAATAAACCACTAGAAAACCAGAAGTGGCACTGTGGCTTAAGTGGTAGAGTGCTTGCCTTGAGCTGAAGAGCACAGGGACAGTGCCCAGGCCCATAGTTCAAGCTCCGCAACTGACAAAAAAAAAAAAAAAAAAAGACCAGCCCAGGCAAAGTCAGCCAGCAAGCTCCTATCTAAACAACAAAATACAAAGTCAAAAGGGCTATGGTTATGGCTCAAGAGGTAGTCTAGAAAGTGTGAGAGCCCTTATTTCAATCCCAAGTATAGAAAGAATAAGAGGAGGGAGGGAGAGAGGGAGGGAAGGAGAAAGGGAATATTGCTATGATAAGACATTTATCACTTCTTCGTCTCATTTCTGATACAAACCCTTAAGTGATGAAGAGGTACAAGGCAGACTCTGAAGACAGCTACCTGGTTTAAAGAGCTATAGATGTTGATTTTAAAAAACTGTGATCTAGAGGCAAGCATTGCATTGTGTTGCGGCTACCGAACAGCCCTGTTGTCTTCAGGGCCCTCGCCTTCTCTGTGATGCCAGCACTCTCTTATCTCTTAGGTACTTGGCGCTTATGTACCAATCGGTCTCCTTCCCCAGAACATAGTGGGATGAATGGGGTGGGGGTGCAGGTCTCCAGTCCCAAGAAGACAATGGAAATCTTAAGCAAAGTATAAACATACACATATTTTTGTCAATACCTGAGGCAGAGACAAAGGGGAGACCTTAGCCCACAGCACTGGCTCCTGAGTTAGGGATGTAGGACCCCAAAAGGCTGCTCAGGACCCATAAAAGTGCTAGGAGTAGGGCAAGAGAAGCAGAAGATGCCATGAGAAGCTCACAAAATCTGGCTACCCAGGGAGCCACTTTTAGTATGAAGCTAGAATTCAACACACAGAAGGCCTTGAGGCTGTCTGCCAGTATCCCAAACTGAAGACATTGTACTGAGACCAAAAAAAAATGGAAGCCTCTTCTAGCCCAGTGTGTGTGTCGGGAATGGGTTGAGCCTAGGTCCAAAATTTTATTGTCGCCCAAAGAATGACATTCCCAGGCAAGATACTGACCTTGAAGCGGGTCCCAGATCAGTGGGGCTTCTCTGGGCCCAGGCTGAAGTCCCCAAGTGTCTCCATAGAATGTGTCCATGTCTAGATTACATGCAGTGCTCCTGCAAAGAAAGAAAGGGATAATACTAATGCTGAAGATGAGTCCCAAGTCACAGTTGCAAACCACACAGTGAACAAGGCCTGCCAGAAATGAGCATCGGTAGACAGATGTAATGGGTCACTTCTTCCTGGAACACAAAGTGATAGCAAAACCAAAGAGGGAATTTTAGAGAACAGAAAAGACCTAATAGAAATTTAGCAGTGAAAAAGCATCTTGAGAAATAGGAAGGAAGCAGACTGTGATAAGAATGAGCCTAAACTTTGAAGAAAACCCACCAGATTCCCAAAACAGGAGAAATGATATGCCAGGATAGCTTACAGAGACACTGAGACCAAATGAAACAAAGGAGACATTAGGGGAAATTGGTGGCAGTTGAACCAACTCTAGACTTCTCATTAGCATGGCCTTAAAACTTCGGAAAGAAGAGAGAAAACTATTGTCACATTCAATTTTATTTTGGAGGTATTTTCCACAGAGAAAGGTAAAATAGGAATGTTAGTATAAAGATGAGAGAATTCCTTGTAAGATGCTCATTCAAAGGTTATTCAACCAGGAATAACTAGTGAAGAATTGCTGGGAATTCCTGGGTGCCAGTGGCTCACACCTGTAGTCCTAGCCACTCAGGATGTTGAGATCTGAGGATGACAGGTCAAAACCAACCCTGACAGAAAAGTCCAGGAGACTCTTATCTCCAATTAACCAGAAAAAAGCTGGAAGTGGAGGTGTGGCTCAAGTGGTGGATCACTAGCGTTGAATGCAAAGTTAAGGGAGACTACTGTGGTACTGATTTCAAGCCCCCAGTACCAGAACAAATAAAGAGATGGCAGGAGACTGAACAAGAGACAAGGGAAGTATATCAGAGCAAGAGGAGGGAAAATAATTGCAAGTGAATAAATCTGTCTAAAATAACAATTACAGCCACAACGGCTACATTAGAGTATTTTAAAACGAGACAAAGAAGTAGCTGTAGGCAGCTTAATAATTTGTATTAAACTAAATGCTAATTAAATTTGAACTTTGATAAGTAAAATATGCCCTGCAATTTTAAGTATAACACTTTAAAGAACAGAAAAAAAAACCAGAATGCATAATTCTAAGTAATTGAAAATGAATAGAAATAGTGACATTGTTTGAGATGCACAATATTCATAAACTGTTGAATGGCAACTCCTTTGTACAACTACTTAAAAATAACAAAAATAGTTTGAAAAGAAAGAAATAGTATATCAATCCAGTAGTGGACATGAAAGAAGGAAAGGAATTTAAACAACAGAATACATATAAGACATAAAATGAGAAGATAAAAATGAGAAACATATTAATCTCACTGAATGTACATAGTAATTTACTTGTTAAAATAAATTTATTATAAATCCAGCCACATATACTTTACAGAATTTATACCCCCAGTACAAAATGCATATGGAAAGAAAGGAGAAAGAACAGACAAGCTTTAACCCAAAGAAAACTTCTAGGAACCTGCTGACATCGCCAAGCTAAACCTTGACAAGGGGAAAGGCATTATTAGGTATCCAGGGGGCATTACATAATGATGAAAGGACCAGTTCAAAAGGATGATGAAAGAATTATAAAACCAACCAGATGTGCCAAATATATGAAGAAATAATGGAAAGAATCCAAGTATAACATTTAAATCTAATTATAGATTAACCTCGATTTGTTAGCCCAACTCCTAATTAAACGATTTCTTCTGCTTCTGCTCCTTCTTTCTCTTCTTCTTTTCCTCCTCCTCTTCCTCCTCCTCCTCCTCCTCCTCTTCTTTCTTCTCCTCCTCCTCCTTCTCCTCCTCTTTCTCTTCCTCCATCACCAGGTGAGGGAGGAGGAGATTTCTTCAACTTCCCAGTTTCCCTGCACACTCACAGGTACTTGAGATCCACACATGAAAAGCAGTCCAAGGCTTCTTTAACAAGGAGAATCTCACGAGGTCCATTTATTTTAGTGTAACGGCGGGGGGGGGGGAAGTTGATAGAAATGAAAACAGGGAGAGCTATTTCCTAGTCCTCATACAGGAAATGGCTGCCTAGCAGCCCCTAATCACTAGACAGTGGCTGAGGATGGCTAAGATGGCTGCTTTTTGTTATTCTGAGACATGGACATGTGACTTAGGCCTACTTTACACACAGGAAGGAGATAAGAGTTTTCTTCATCCATGAGTGGATGGGTCTAACCTCCGAGGAAGGCAGATAGATACCCAGGACCCTTGAATGTAAGAGCACCTCGAGGTGATGGGAGGGAGTTTGCTGCTCTGGTTTTTCCGTTTTTATACCCCGGTTCTAAAGTCCCTTTTAACAATTTTTGGTTTTAATTTTCCTGTCTTCATATCTATCCTGCCTCCGTAGGTTTACAGGAAAAAAGACTCTCCAATAGCAAAATAGCACTTAAACTTATTAATATATAAGGAGAAAAAAATCTCTAGATACAAAATTGGTATAATTTATAAAGCAAGGGTCCAAAAATCCCTTAACACACCACAAACTGGGCAGAAAAGTCTGTGAGATTCCAATCAACCAGCAAAAAAGCCATACTGGGGGTGTGGCACAAGTGACAGAATGCCAGCCATGAACAAAAAAGCTGAGCAAGAGTGCAAAGACCTGAGTTCAAGCCCTGGTACTGGCACATAAAAAAGAAGGAAAAAAAGAAGGGAAGGAAGGAAGGGAGGGAGGGAGGGAGGGAGGAAGGGAGGGATACTAGGCTCATGTGCAGTCTGCAGCAAGGAGGTTAGCAGAATAGATCAAGAATATGTAAGCTGCCAACTCAGAGAGATTTTAATGGTTTCATGTCCTGTTTTCTTTCTCTTAGACATCTTCCTCTGCCCCCCATCACCACTACCAATTAGAGAGAAAAATGCAACGAGTAAAGATACCGCAGAAACACAGGCTAGATAAATGAGGCTCCACAGCTGCCAGGCTCTGGACTTGGGTCGCAAGGCTGAGGGCTACAAACCAGGCCTCCTAGCAAACAGCTGGGATGGAAGTTTCCCAGATCCTTAGCGGTCCTTGTCTCCATGAGTCATGGGATTCTGCTTCTCTGTTTTCTCGCATGTGTGTGCAGAGCCAGGGACTTGAGTCTTTCCTTCTCCTCATCTTCCCACAGGTAACTGGGTGGGAAGGTCCTTCCCCAGAATGAGTCTCAAGACCTTGGCTGGTAGGGGGGAGGTTGAAATTTCCAGAAGCCTTACTTTTCTTCCCAGGCCTGAGCTGATCTCTACAAACTATACCAAAAGCCCTTTTTCAAAAGGTGCTTAACTTG